ATGGAGAACAGCCCTAAGCAAAAGTACAAGCTACAAAATATTAACGAGAGATACATTTAAGAGCAGTGTATCTACACATTGCAATGCCGTGGGCATTGGACCAGTACAATCCACGTTCTCAAACCATGAAATGAAAACTACCAAATGAAGAGGACTACCTGTATTCACTCACGCTTCAACAAAGAGCTTACCAAACACTATGGAAATCCATGTATTCCCAAGAATGAATAGTTGCCAACCTGTCTTCCACCTCAACCTACTTAGCAAGTGGTTCACACCTGCAAGACATATGTCCTCGCACAATACTCTAGGGACAAAAGGAAATTGTTCCTTTGTCTCTCATCCTAAGAAATCACAATGGAATATAAGCAAGGAAGGATATTATACTATGAATAATCTTTATACTCTGAATTATTTTTTAAGTAAATCATTTATAACTTTGAAACTTTAATAAAAATAACAAGATATTTGTCATTCATTCAACAAAATATTTATGGAGCACCCAGACACCAGACACCATGCTAAGTAAGGGCTGAAGTGTTAACAGTGAATAGGTTCTCTGTTTCTCCTGCCTGAGAGCCAATTATGTAAGCTATTAGAAAAAAAAGGAAGATTACAGAAGTATGTTTATGTGTGTGTGTGTGTGTATAAAACATGACCTCATTTAAGTAAAAATACACAAGCCAAAACATCAATATATATGCATATGTAAAATACATTTAAAAATTCTAATAGGTAGTGCCGGCGGGACCATTGGTGAGTAAGTGTGTTGCAGCTTTTGTGTTATGCGAGTCTGGTTGCTGCGAGCTAAAGAGCAGAGCACGCGGGCCGGTCATCATGTCCTGCTATGGGCGGTATGGAGGAGAAACCAAGGTGTATGTTGGTAACCTGGGCACTGGTGCTGGCAAAGGAGAGTTAGAAAGGGCTTTCAGTTATTATGGTCCTTTAAGAACTGTATGGATTGCGAGAAATCCTCCAGGATTTGCCTTTGTGGAATTTGAAGATCCTAGAGATGCAGAAGATGCAGTACGAGGACTGGATGGAAAGGTGATTTGTGGTTCCCGAGTGAGGGTTGAACTATCAACAGGCATGCCTCGGAGATCACGTTTTGGTAGACCACCTGCCCGACGTCCCTTTGATCCTAATGATAGATGCTATGAGTGTGGTGAAAAGGGACATTATGCTTATGATTGTCATCGCTACAGCCGGCGAAGAAGAAGCAGGTCACGGTCTAGATCACATTCTCGATCCAGAGGAAGGCGATACTCTCGCTCACGCAGCAGGAGCAGAGGACAGAGGTCAAGATCAGCATCTCCTCAACGATCAAGATCTGTGTCTCTTCGTAGATCAAGATCAGCTTCACTCAGAAGATCTAGGTCTGGTTCTATAAAAGGATCGAGGTATTTCCAATCCTGTTCAAGATCAAGATCAAGATCCAGGTCTCTTTCC